AAAGCTGCTCTGTTGGACTGAGATCTGGTTGTGAAAAAGGTCTGAGATGATTTAAGCTTTGCAACATGGTGTGTTATCCTTCTGGAAGCAACAATACCCCAGTCAGATGTGTATTAAACAATGCTTAGTTGGTACTAACAGGCCCAAAGTGAGCCAAGAAAATGTACTGCAACAGTCTGAATGGTTGATAATAGGCAGGATGGATCCATGCTTCCATGTTGTTTATGTTTATTTTTTGATTGTATCATCCAAATGTTGCTGCAGTTATTAGAAAAGATTTACCAGAGCAGGCAACATTCTTTTTCAATCTTCTATTGTGGAATTTTGGTGAGTCCATGCAAATTGAAGCCCCAGTTTTCTGTTCTTAGCTGGCAGAAGTGGTGAAAGTGCAAGAGAACTGGTCTGGTCTTCTGCTGCCATAGCTCAGCTGCTTCAAGGTTTAACATGCTGTATGTTCTGAGATGCTCTTCTGCATACCTTGGTAATTTGATTTACTGCTCCTAGCAGCCCAAAGCTTTCTGGCAACTCTCCTCTCAACTCTGACACCAACAAGGCAGAAAACTGTGACTCACTGGATATTTCTCTTTTTTGGACTGTTCTCTGTATACCCCAGAGATGGTTGCAAGGGAAAATCCCAGTAGAATCACAGTTTCTGAAATACTCAGACCAGGTTAATGAACGATTATATCATCTTTCTTCCCCAGTCTGATGCTTGAACTTCAGCAGGTCATCTTGATAATGTCAACATGCATGCACTGACCTGCTGCCATAGACTGATTAGATATTTGGTTGAGTTGGTGATTGGCTGAACTGGTGTACCTAAAAAAGTGGCCTGTGTGAGCCTACTCTGTAAAGTAATGAGTGCACATTATCTTTCCGGGCCCATCAGATTTGAATGTTTATTTAAGCCAAGAATCTTTGGAATGCTGCATATTGTATAGAGTAATGATGAGTAAAGTGAGTAACAGACCATGCCAGACATAAATGCAATAATATTTAGGCAAACTTCTCATTTAAGGCTAAACCCGGAGGGTAGGAAGTGTGTTGAGCTCAACTAATTGGAACAAAATTCAAAAATTAGAGCTTAAATACAGAATTGCCTGGAGTATGTTTACTGGACAAATGGTTGCAATAATAGTCCAGTAGTTATAGCAAAATGGCTCTGACTCTTTGCTGACTACAAATGGTGATAGAAGAGCAAACGAGACAGCTGAAAGTGGTTTAGATCACATTTTAACATGAAAGGTATCATTGATAAAGGGGAAAACCAGGTAATTAGCATTCACTCCTGGATATCAGGTTCACAGTATAAAAACAATAAAAACACCAAAACAGGGTACAAACTGTTCAAGCCACCATGCATTGGTGTGGAATACAAATTACAGATAGTCTGGAATTATATCGACATTATAGGGCCTTTTCAGTAATCATTACACTTCCAGTCATTTTAAACAAGCTAAAATAGGGTCCTGTCTTTACTGAAGCTAGCCGGCTGACACTTACGTATCCGGCAGTGATTGAAGGTCGTTGCTAAGCAACGGAACGCTGAACCGCCCTACTATGCAGCGCTCTTAGAAAAGCACATAAAGCGAAGTTAACACTATCCATGAGCGAATTTAATGGATAATGTATAACTGCTGCAAGTAAGTTGATATTTTCGAACGTAGTGCGGCGCTAAAGCATGCCATCTTGGCAGAGTAGTCATGGACGAGGAAAAAAATAGTCCGTCTTTTCTTGAGGACCACAGAGTTAAGTTTGTCGAGGGAAAAGTTTGCGGGCTACTGCGGGTGCACAGCCAGACATGGCAAAGAAATGCTGTCAGCGAAGAGTTTCAAGCCCCTCTGAAGAACTTCTTTGAAAAGCAGTCGCTTATATTTTTCTCTTCCTCTAAAAAGGGCTGTCTGGTTGCTTCTAATGAGGTATGTCTCTTACAGATGTTGCAGAGTCTGCTGCGTGTGTTCTTACAGCAGACATTTTGACATGTCATAGCAGGAAACTCGCAGGTATAATCATGGCAATTTTCACTTAGGGAAGATTCTTCTTTTTATGTATGTTGGTTTGCTGTTACTGGAGCACTTCATCATTAAAATGATTGATTTCACCTGCAATTTTCCTACTACACAGGTAAAATGTCTGCTTTGAAAATGCAGTGCCAAAGCGCATTCTGTATAATACTGTCTTAGAGTATTTATTATGGACTCATCAACTAGCAAAGATCTTTTAAAATGAAACAAATAAATCGTTTCATCATGACATATTTAAAAGTCTTGCAAAATCTCACGTTATTTCAAACGCAGGTTCCACCAGATGCGAAAAATGAACAAATCTATATTCTCAAGAAGAGAGTTGTTCCAGTCACCTCTGAAAACTGCAGGGAACTGCTGCTCTTTGGCCTTTTGACTCCACCAGTTCTCCTGCAGCTGTCATGTGCAGTTAAGCAGGTGACTGTGCCACCCATTTTCATACACATAAGCCATAAAGAAGCTTTTCTTTCCATTTCTAACCTGCCTGTGTGGGTTCTGGGTGAATTGGTTATGTTTTTGTCTTCGCAAGATATGTGTTCCACTGCTGTCCGACAACAAAAACCATCAGACTTGGCCACTTCTGATATCTGAAGACATCCTTCGACATGTGGAAATCATGTGCAGTCAGACCTCAGTTGTGCAGGGACGGGTTATGGGGAAAACTGTCCTCCCTATTCCAATAGCAGCTGACTGGATGGAAAAGCCACACGGCATCTTTGAAAAGTAAGAAAACAACCAAGCATACAGTGTAATCTTTGACACTATATATTTTAAGTAAAGCACTCACCTTCTATTTTCCTCCTTCAGGCATGAAAACTATGACAGGGCAGTAGCCCATACCATAGAGACCCAGGTCATCAACTGGACAAATCTGATCCAGAAAATTTTAAAGGAGGATTCATCAGACAAACTAATAACAGGCTGTAATCCAGGGCCCAGTGCAGAACTGAAGTTTTGGGCATCCAGGAAGAACAACATAGAGAGCATTTATCATCAGGTATACTTCCTAACCACATTGGTATTCACCAAAACATGTTTTAATATCTTTTCATCTCCTTCTACGTCACTATTTGCTAAAGTTGTATCTTGCTGTAGCTTCAGAGTCCAGTTATTCAAATGATGGTGAAGATGTTAGAGATGATGGATAGCAGCTATCATCCAGCAATCAAGATGCTAATTGGAAAAGTGTGTGATGGTAAGATTACCGTGTCACTTTTTTAAAGACAATGGGTAGTGTCTGCCTTGAACAGCATAATATCACCTCCATCTCTGTTATACAGTTAGAGGTTAACATATGATTATGATATATATTTTTTGTCCTCAAAAAATAAAGCTCTGCGAGAAGCCGAGGACATTGACCTCCATCTACAGCCACTACATGCACAGCTGTCTCATTTGGAAAACGGAGAGCTTCAACTCATGCAAACATACATGCCGGCACTTTTTCACACGCTTTACCTCATTTGGACCAACTGCCAGTCTTACCAAAGACCAGCACGCATCGTGGTATTACTGCAGGAACTCTGTAATCTGCTCATTGAACAGGTATAAGTTCTCATTTGAAACACCTGTATTTATAGATGTACATAGGGGGGTCCAGAGAAAGAGCTAGCTACTACCGACAGCTGACGTTACTCTGACTGTTAGCTGCTAGCATGAACAAATTCACAGATACAAAAACTTATTCCCTGTAGGCTTCTACATACCTCTCTGCAGATCTGCTTCTCAGAGAGGATCCAGAGGAAAGTCTACAAATGGTAACGAGAGTCATAAAGGTTTGTAGGTGTTTCAAAGACAGTTACCAGACCCAGAGGGAAAGACTTGCCAGCCAAGTGAAACATGCACCCTGGGATTTTCCAGCTGCTTTGATTTTCTCACGTTTCAACCAGTTCTTTAATCGTATGAAACAGCTTGAGGTGAGATAATATTTTTGCTTTATTGGTTGTCATAGTAATGTTGTGCGTGATTTTGTTTCCTGATCATTTTTTTCCTGATAGGAATTCTTTGAAATCATGCTACACTATAAGAGAATGGAAAAGTTGCAATTTGGTGGAACTAAAGGGAAACTCTACAGTGAGCATGCTGCTAAGATGCACAAAGAGTTCAGTGACCTCTGCCAAGCACTGATCCACAGTAAAAACTGCCCGCTTGACTTGAACTCTCAGGTGATACTATTAATGAAGATTTTTTGGGATTTATAATAATAATCATAAGGATTATTTTAATATTATTATAATACACATGGATGCACTAGTGTTCATCATTAAATACTGTTGAACTGTTGTTTCTGTCATTAGGGTTTTGAAAGTGAGTATAAGAATTTCAAGATTAAGATTGCGGACATTGAATGCCGCCTTGCTCGCTTTCTGTGTTTGGTTTTCAAGGATTGTTCAGGCCTCGAGTCAGCAATGAAAGTAAGTAAGACTGCATGCTAGTGTGGTAATGCATTATTTACCAAGTGAATGGTGAACAACAAAGACTCAGAGTGTTTCGGCCCGTAGATGCTAACTATTGCTGGACCCTTCCTGGAGAAAAGACAGATTAGACAGATATTTGGTCCCAACTTCCTTCTGCTACAGCAACATTTCAGAGAAGAGCTGGAGACGTGTAAACATCTATTGAAATTACAGCTTAATCAGGTACTCCAAGCTAAAACTGGATACTAGCAGTATGCATTCACTGCACAATAGATATTGTTAATTAGATTTTTTTTCTATAATCTCACTGTGTTTACAGATGGAAACTAGTCTGGTGAAGAACATGGCACACACATCTGGAGCTTTCAAGTGGGCAAAAATGCTCAGAGAACGCATTCAAAGACCGTGGGAAAAATTCAGATTGCTTTTTGGCAAGTCAGTAAAAACAAAAATTAGAATATGTTCTAAGCATAAGTTACACTCCTTGTCTTTATTGATTATATTATTGAACAGAAAGAGATTTATTTTTCATATTTCCAGGCCTGCAGAAGGAGTAGACATGGTTACCGAGTACAGCATGTACACAGAGATCTTGAATCTACTAGACCAGTTTGAGAAGGACATTTACTCTGACTGGTGCTGTGGCTTAGAACAGACGTGCCTGATTAACCTGAACCAGCCACTTATCTCCAGAAATACCTCTTCTGGCCTGATTTCGGTCAACTTTAATCCAAAGGTAACCAATTTCATGGAAATATGAAAGTGTACACCTTTCAATGCTCAACTTACTCTTTGACTGAGAGCATGCAGTGGCCCACTGCTAAGGCACCCTCAAGATCCCTAAAAACTTCTCAAAGAATACAATTCAAATGATCCAAGAATCATTATTTCTTACCTCAAATTTTTAATCATACTGCTGACACAGTTTGCAAAGTACAAAAATAGTAGCAGTGTTGCAGTGGAAGGAGCACATTTCCATATTTAGTTATTTTATTCCTTAATTTTTTTTCTGTAAATTGATACAAAGTTTTCCCTGATAGGTGCCAACACCATCACAACAAACACTGTTGCCCTGGCAACCTGGTGTTGATAGTACCAATAATTCTGCACCAGAATTAATAGTACTTCTTCTCGTAATCATCTGCGGTGTCATCCAGAATGTCCTGGTAGAGTGTTTTGCCATAATTCTTCTTGTAGTCTTCCTTGATCCTCTTCATGTCAATTTCAGATCGTGATCAGATCGGGCGATCGTGGCTCAAAGCTGTGTAAAGCGCTTTGGGGTCCCTAGGGGGGACTAGTAAAAGCGCTATACAAATACAGGCCATTTACCATTTACCCATTACCTACTCACAGCATATCAATGTTTATGCTTTCGCATACCTGCTTTATCAGTAGCAGAGTATTACTTATACATAATCAAGGACAGGAATATAGTTGTTTTTTTTTTAAGTTAAGTTAGACATGACCAGGCTTTTGTAGATATAGAAGCCTCACTCTTCTGGACGTGGAGGTGGGTGTGCTATTAGACAACCCACTCACCACTTTAATCACACTCTAGATTTTGTTCTAACATGTGGCATAGAAACTGAACATTTAAGTAAGCACAAGTGTTTTCTGAAAGCCCTCTCTTGTCTGATCATTTTCTAATAACGTACATTTACAATAATTGATTACACAGCAGTGAGGAATAGATTTCAACACAGATGTCTTTCTGAAAGTGCTGTAAATAGGTTTAATTATATAATTCACTGACTTTTACTCCTGAAGTCACTCCGACAGAGGTCTTGTTAATAATTTTATTTCTTCAATATGTGTGGCTCTGTATGCTGTAGCTCCTGTGAAAAAGGAATATAATTCTCAAATGCATTAATGCACCTTGTAAGCTGGAGAGGAAATGGTGTATCACAAATTTAGAAGATCATCATTTAGCCTAAAAAATGTTTGCTGCTTTGTAAAAAAAAAAAAAAAGCCCTCTGTAGAGCCGGAACATCTTAATATTCATCATTGATTGAAGAAAATAAAGAATAACCCTATATTTCTCCTCAGCACTGTAGTCTGGCTGACAAAAAGTCAGAGCTCTGTTAACATTAACTAGTAATGATTCCTTGAATTTGTTCACAAATAAAAATTTAAACCTTACTCAAAATCATCTCACAGATGTAACATTATCTACATTTATTTAGTATCTTTTACTCCAATTGATCTTTCTGAGTTAACTTCAGTAATTACTTCCTCCAAACCATCAACGTGTCTTTTAGACCTCAGTCCTACAAGACTGCTCAAAGAATTCTTACCATGATGTTATGCTTCAATCTTAAATATGATCAACCTATCTATAATAATTGGCTATGTACCACAGGCCTTCAAGCTGGCAGTAGTTCAACCGTTACTTAAAAAGCCATCTCTTGACCCAGCTGTGTTAGTTAATCAGAATCATATATATCTAATACACTCCAGTTTGTCCATGTAAATGGAGTGCCCTCTTCACTAAGGTTAATTATGGAGTTCTGTAGGCTTACATGTATTTAAAAGTAAAATGGGAGGGAGAGCCTTCAATTTTCAGGCATCTCTTCTGTGGAATCACTGTCGCCAGAGCACTTGCTCATAGGGGGTCATATGACTGTTGGGTTTCTCTCTGTTGTATTATTGTTGGGTCAACCCTACAATATACAACTTCTTGAGACGAGTCTTGTTGCTATTTGGCGCTGTGTAAATAAAATTGATTTGAACTGAACTGACAAGGCTTCTAGTGCTGCTGCCCCTCTGCAGTACCTTATTTCTGGATGTTTTCAGCTAAAATGCCACTTACTGATGCCTTTGACTTTTGTGTGTAAAATAAATGAATCCGAATTTTTATTATTATTACAAGCTATTACTAGTTATTACCTGCATTACTGGCAGTTTCTGCCAGGCCTGGGGTGCATTTTAAATAATACTTTATGTATTTAGTGGTCAAACAAAATTTTGTTGTGAATGTCAATTTTGATGACCCTTAAGCTGCATGTGTGATGATGTTCGTGCAAGGTTTTCTTCAGATCAGTCCATTCATTAAGGAGGAGAAAAGGCATATATACATAAAAATGCTACAGTCATTATAGTATTACATTTAAATTAATTCAATTAAATTAATCAGCAATTTCTTTTACTTCTCAGCTGACTGAGGCCTTAAAGGATGTGAAGTATTTTCAGACTGTGAGTGAGATCACCATACCTCCAGATGCACTGGCTCTTTTTGAGAAGCGTGAAATGTTCACAAAGGTTTGAAAAATCATTTTAGAACTGGGCCACACAAGGTCACCCATCAAAGTTACACAGCAGTTTTGTTTTGTTTTTTATTTTTTATTTTTTATTGGCCCTAAATGCAACATTTGCTCACATTTGTATTTTTCAGTATGTGAATGGTTTGCAGCTGTTAGTACAGTGGTACAACGAGCTTAAGCAGACAGTGTTAGAGGTGGAACTTCCTCTCATCAGAGCTGAGCTGGAGTCAGTAGACCTGCAGCTGTCGAGAGCAGAGACCAGCTTGACGTGGCAGGACGAGGACTGCTGGAGCTTCATCAACAACACCAAACACCTTGTACAAGACCTTGTCTGTCGAGTTAATAGAGTGAGGGAAAACTGTGATGCCATTCAGTGTGTGATGAAGAGATGGAGCAAACAGGCCATGTTTTGCAGAAAGGACAACAAAAAAGGTTCACTCATACAACTGGACGAGAGAGGAGACTCTTTCAGGAAGAAGTACAGCTCCATGAAGAATGATGGAGACTATATACATGGGCTGGTGCAGGTGTGTGTGGCTGGATCTGTGAAGAGTAACTGAGCTATTATAGATTTTCTGTGAATAGCTAAGTAAGCACTGAAACATGTATGTTTCTGTTGGTATGGTTAAAAACAGCATTCACCTTGATTAGATTAAAGCACATTATTGGTTCTGTTCACTGACAGTTTAAAACCTTGTTTAGTTACTTTTTGTTCATTTTATTTAAACCTTGAATTTATGTGCAGCTTAATTAAACATCACATTAGTTTTATTATGAAGATGACTTGCATATGATACCATAGATCCAAATCTAAGTTCTTTGGTGTATGTCCTGTATTGTTTAACATTAATTTTTATGCAACGTGGAGCTGCTAATGCTCTTAGCTTAAAAACTTTTAATTATAATCACAATCATCTTTTTCCTCTGACATTCTGGAAGTATCTTTCTTGATATAAATAGTATTAACATATTTAAGCACTTAAGAAGCCAATAAAATAAAATTACTCCAGTTGTTGTGGAATAGATAAATCCCCCCAAGCAGAGCTTCAAAAATCACGTGAAATAGAAATTATTACAAGCAGAAGCTAAATATTATTCTAATACTCTACTTCTACTCAGGAGAACATGGTTCTTTTCCATGCTGATCCGGATTCAGAAGAGTGGCAATGCTACCTGGAATATTTGGATGACATGGTTGTTGAAGGGCTCTTCAGCTACATCAGTCGCTCTCTTCATTTCCTCGTGGAAAACATGGAGGCAGGCCTGAACCAGACTCCACTGTTTGAGGCGAAGCTAATCCTCAATGGCTCAAAGATGACTTTCTGTCCCTCAATGGAGAAAGATGCAGGAGATAGCCTCTATGAACTGATAGAGGGGCTGGTTGCAGATGTATTCAAGACTTCAGTGAATATCAGGAGAGTGGCTGCTCATCTTAGCATGGAGACCTATCAGGTACGCTTCTTTTATGTTTGAATTAGCACAGGCTTCTTATACTCTTGACAAAAACTAGGAGATGTCTTCTCTGCTTTTACTGCAAAAGTCACACTTTTAGAATTGCACAATTTGAATGACTTGCTAGTTATTATTTGTCATTGTACTTTTATATGTGCTAAAATGTTCCCAGATTACATCGTAAATATGTTCCTACTAGAGCGAAGAGTACAGCCTCCCTGTCAAAAGGAGAATAGTGGTAGACTGTGTTGCTGTGTTATAAGTGAAGTACTGTTACATCCAGGGTGTTATCAGTCGCAGTCTAATTTCACAATGTCATATTTGCACATTGCTAAATTTAAAATATGTGAAAAATGGAAACATGTATTTCCTTGGTGTACTAAACTTGCCAAACTCATTGCTGTGTTTTCTTCTACAAATGGTAGCTATTCCTGATGTTTTGTTTGATGTAATATAACTCTTACAGGATGTAATGGATGGCATGCTAGACTTGCTGGACCTGAGACAGGAAATAATGGAGCGAGTGGAGAACGTCCAGAAGAAAGCAATAAATTACCAGACAAAGTTTGATTGTTATACTCATCTGTGGCAAGATGACAGGGCAGAGTTTCTCAGGCAGTTTCTCCTGTATGGACGTGCACTCACATCAGAGGAGATGGAAGCCTGTACAGGAGATGCACTCCCTGACAATCCTCCTACAATCAATAACTTCAAAGAACAAGTAAAAAATGTTTAAACTCTGGGCTAAATTCTTGCAATTCACGGGAGTTTGAGTTTTATTTTTGTTTTTTATTTTTAATTTCAATGCCTGTTGTGGTTTTAATTTTATAGATCGATTATTATGAGGATCTGCATGATGAAATTTCCCACTTTGAAGACTTCAGAGTTTTTGATGGTTGGTTTCGGGTGGACATCAAGCACTTTAAAGTCAGCCTTCTTAACACACTAAAAAGGTGGAGCTGGCTCTTCAAAGAGCATCTCTTGACCAATGTCACCCACAGGTAAATTTTATTGGCATAGATTTTAAGTTCTGGCAAATTTGTAGGATCAGTTGTTCTTACTCTAACTTTTCCCACTCAGTCTTGATGAGCTGCAGAAGTTTATCCAAGCTACTGTTGAAGGGCTAAGACAACCTATAGCTAAAGATGACAACCATGGCTTTGTGGAAGTGATGAGTCACCTGTTAGCTGTAAAGGACAGACAGAATGCCACAGACAACATGTTTGAGCCTCTTAGAGAAACAGTGATCCTCCTGGAACAATATGGTGTGACCATACCAGACCATATCTACTGGCAAATGGAGGTAGGAAAAGAGTGAGCCAACTACAGCAATGTAATCATAAACAGTAATTTATCCACAAAGAATCAGATTACTATATTCATTATGTGTACTTTCGTGCTCCGAGTGATAACTGTAGTTTTGTCAACAGGAACTTCCAGAGAAATGGAGTGGGGCTAAAAAACTGGCCCTAAGAGTAAGGCACGAGGTGGCACCCATGAAGAATACAGAAGTGATGGTTTTACGAAGACAGTGCATGGATTTTGAGGTGATCATATGAGAAAACTAAAATTGTACAGTGTAGAAACTATTGTAACATACGTTAAGCAACATGAACATTTTTTTCAGGTGAAACAAACCCAGTTCAGAGACATGTTCAGAGCAATGGCACCCTTCAGTTACAAGGCAGTAAATCCTTACAGTAGTCTTGAGAAAGTAGGTTTTTAATCATTGCTTGACTATCGGATTAAAACAGCATTTTATTTGACCTTTTTGGATGACAACTGCCATTTGTTTTCTAGTCAGAAAAAGCAATCCGGGATATGGAGAGAGAAGTAGCAGAGCTGCAAGAGTCTGCCAGTCTACTTGATGTTTCCATTTCTGACTACAGAGACATCAAGCTCTGCAGGCGAGAGATTACGATTCTCAAAGAACTGTGGGACATTGTTGTATATGTGCAAGTAGGTTGATTTATCAGATATTTTTAAATGTCATTTTTTTCATGGGGAAATTGAAAAAACAACTCTAGGTCTCATCACCCTACCACAATACCCCAATACATAAATGACTTGACCTGGCTGTCCTCTTTGAGACTTTGAATACCCTGTAGCCTCTAAATGTCCCTATTAAATAGCCTTAACCCACTGACCCTTCTCCATGTGTCTTTATCTATACAGAGCAGTGTGGAAAACTGGACAATGACCAAATGGAGGCAGATAAACGTGGACCAGATGGATGCAGAATTGAGGAGGCTTGCCAAGGTAAGGTCACCAACAGTGCTACATCACACCAGCTCATCTCTCCTGCTGTCTTGCTGTCACGCACCATTGCTGTTTGTAACAGATGCCCCTAATAACTAATTATGTTTACCTACCTTCTGTTTGTGTAGGACATACAAAAGCTTGACAAAGAAGCTCGCTTGTGGGATGTGTATTCTGGATTAGACCTTTATGTAAAGAACTTGTTGACGTCACTGCAGGCTGTGAGTCAACTGCAGAACCCGGCAATACGAGAGCGTCACTGGGTCCAGCTAATTAGAACAACACAGGTGCATAAATTCATAAAGCAGAGGCCTTTTTGTAGGAGATCTCGTTGTATATTTTGCTTTGCTTAATAAACATGTTACACTTTTTTACTATTTTTTTTTATAGATGGATTTCACTGTGACAGATAGTACCACTTTGGAGGACCTGTTGGTTTTACAGCTCCATTTGTTTGAAGATGAAGTCCGCAACATAGTGGAAAAGGCAGTCAAAGAGATGGCAATAGAGAAGGTTTTTCTTCAGCTATGAACACAAACATGTTGGACATATTTTCAATTCAGTTCAGTTCAGTTCATTTTTATTTCAAACATGTGCCTTCACAATCATTCCAAAATATCATTCCATTCTTTTGTTTGAAAAGGAGTATGCAGAAGTATACACTTATTAGTCCCTACCCCCCTTGGAAGTTATTAGAAACAGAATTTCACATTAAAGAGATGTGCTCAACAAATAAATAAGACATGCAGCTGTACTAATAGCACTTTTTGTGAAGTTAGTTTATTGGTAAACTTCTATTTGCTATCAACACTATTCACTGTTTATATTTCAGGTTGTAACAGAAATAAGTCAGACGTGGATGTCAATGGAGTTTTCATATGAAGAGCATTACCAGACCTCTGTGCCACTGCTTAAATGTGATGAACAACTCATTGAAACTCTTGAGGATCATCAGGTAGATGTCTTAAGTTACTGTAAGTTATTTTACAAAAGAACAAGAGCTTGTTCTCAAGATCAGCTGTCTGTGAGAATCTCTGATAGTTAAGTGCTGAATAGAGATGAGATCACAGACGTGCCTTCCCCATTTGAGTGTCTAATAGCATGGCTGAGAGCAGAAAGGTCCCTATTGAGTCCCAAGATTTATAGCTTCTGGACAACACAGGGCATTGTTGCACCGTGGTGATCTTTGAACATGTACACCAGATGCGTTGAGGGGGTTACAGCCAGCAATTAGAACTCCTGACACTTTAGTGCCTCCGTCTTTGTTTAAATATTTAAATTTGACTTGGCTTGGCATGCTGATGAGGTAGAAGATGTTTACAAATGCAGCTGATACGTGTAATGGTGTCCAATTCTGAAAATATGTTTTTTCTTTAGGATAGGTTTGATTCTATCTGCTGCACTTTAATTTTACATTAGAGCACATTCTTTATGCTTATTCTTCTTTTCCCTTATTCTCAAGGTTCAGCTCCAGAGTGTCTTTCAGAATAAGCACACAGATCACTTCCTGCACCAGGTAGTGGAACTACAAAAACAGTTGACGGTGGCTGACTCTGTGTTCATGGTCTGGATGGAGGTCCAAAGGACATGGGCCTACCTTGAAAGCATTTTCAAAGGCTGTGATGACATTTGCCAGCAACTGCCTGCAGATACACACAGATTCAAAGCAATAGATGCAGAATTTCAGGTCTGCATGTGTACACAGTTTGTGTAGAGCTGCAAATTATGTTGTTGTCACCATTTGTAACAATGGGAATTTTTGTTCTTTCAGGAGCTAATGTTGGGCAGTGCCATCATTAAAAATGTAATTGAGGCCACTAACAAACCTCATCTACTGGAGAAGTTAGAGGATCTACAAAAAAGGTTCATGCTGTTTTCATCAAACTTGTGTTATACGCTTAAAGGTTTCCTGCCTACTGATCCTATTCAATCTTTCCGACAGGCTGGCATTATGTGAAAAAGCTCTTACTGAATACCTGGAAACAAAAAGACTCGCATTTCCACGATTCTACTTTATTTCATCCGCAGACTTGTTGGACATCCTCTCTAAAGGAAGTCGTCCCAGAGAAGTAAATTCAGTAAACTTTCCCTTCTTTGGGGCAGCTGTGGCTCAGGATATAGAGCAGGTCATTCAATTATCAGAAGGCAGCGTTGGCGTTATGGACAGGTCCCCTGGGGTGTAGGCCTGTCCAATAGGGACTTTCAAAACGCTTGAGTGCGCTGTGCATTTATAGTACTTATGCATGCATATGCATTTGTTCTAAGATAGGTTGTTTATTTTTGAGTTTGTTGTGCAGGGATTTTTTTTAACAAAATTAGTTGTTTGCCCATCAAGTCAGAAGGTCTGTGCTTTGGTCTCCAGATCCTCACATGTTCAGGTTTCTGTGGGGAGGATACTGTACCCCAAATTGCTCCTGATGCATCCATCAGAGTGTGTGCATGACAGAAAAAAACTTGAAGGGTGAATGTGTGTCTAAATGGGCAAATGTAGCTTGTAGTAAAAAGTGTTTGAGCACCCGTTTAGAGTTGAAACATGCAAATCCTTTTATTTTATTTTAGTGTCTAGCCTGCGTAATAATTGCTGTGCTTAATGTGTCTATCATGCGCAAATACGACTGACTGTCTTTTGTAGGTGACCATCCATCTCTCAAAGATTTTTGACAACTTGACCGATCTTGAGTTCAGCAAAAACGAGCAGCTGAGTAATCCTAAAGTTGCTGTGGGCATGTATAGCAAAGAGAGGGAATTTGTGCCATTCCAGACTGAATGTTTGTGTTGCGGGCCGGTAAGATCATATTCATCATCAGCGAATGTAAATTATCGATCACACATATCACAAAGTAGCTGAATCGTTTGTTTAAAAAAAATACTTCCCGTTAGGTTGAGGCATGGCTCAGTCGTCTCGAAGAGTCTATGAAGGAATGTGTCAAGGGTCACCTATCCGAGGCTGTGTCCGTGTACGAGGACAGACCCAGAGAGCAGTGGATTCTCGATTTCCCTGCCCAAGTTGCTCTTGCTGGATCACAGATCTGGTGGACTAATGATATGGAACTTGTGTTCAAAAGACTGGAAGAAGGATTTGAGTCGGCGCTAAAAGACTACAATAAAAAACAGGTATGGGTGCTTAACTGACATTTTAAGGCTTTAGTTTTGAATAGTGGCAAAATAGTTTTGCCATTAAAAGGTGTTTGTCATATATTAATGTTTTTTAAGGTTAATGTGATATTTTCAAAGAAAAGCAAGTTTCGATTTGATGTCATGCTCTCGACATGCTGTGTTCAGTGATCTGTATTATACATAGTGTCTGCATATACTGTGCATATGATCTGACCTGACTTGGGCTTCGGGAGCCTCACCGTCGACTCTGATCAGAGTTGTTTTATCACTCTTGTCACTTTCATCGGTACCATTAAAGGTTAACATGTCCTTGGCTGCTGTTTGAATAATCTCCCTCTCCCCCATCAACCCACGGCATTGCATTGATTGGATCTGCTGTCACACAGGAACAGGAACAAATGATTTCCAATTATCTTTTAGTAAAAACAAGAACACTAGACTGCTTTTGATCATATGTAAAGTAGACATTCGTGTAATGCTGGTAAATGACCTGCAAGTGACAGGAAAAAAGACATGTTAATATCAGTTTGAGGGAAATGATCTCCTGTGTGAATTTGTGTTACTCTCTTCTCCTCTTTGCTTTGAAGTTGTTGTTTCCCACCTATAGGTTTCTCAACTCAACATGCTGATTGGCATGCTACTTGGAGAGCTGAGCTCAGGAGACAGGCAAAAGATCATGACTGTATGCACCATTGATGTCCATGCCAGAGACATTGTTGCCAGCCTCATTGCTAAAAAGGTTAAAACAAATGAATAACTTCTTGCATGCCATCTCATTTTAGTCTGATTGAGCTAACTTTGGTATTATGGCAAGCTTTACTCTTACTGTATGTGTGCAGAACAAATTACTTTTTTTATTAATTTAAAACAGCTTGAGTTGGAATTTGACTAACTGATATCGTAACGTGGCACACTCAAAGATATAATTCTTTTAAAGAAAATAGTCATAGCATCTCAGTATTTGTGTGGCATTTTTCATTGATGACGTTTGATATGAGCCATGTGTGTTTACAGGTCACCACCTCACAGGCCTTCCCATGGCTTTCCCAGCTTCGACATTACTGGAGTGAGCAGCTTCGCCACTGCTACATCAACATCTGTGATGCTCAGTTCATTTACTCTTATGAGTATCTTGGAAATACACCACGTCTGGTCATCACTCCTCTGACAGACCGGTAACTCTTATTGTTTTTCCTTCGGCTGCTCTCTTAAGTGAGATTATCTGCCTCCATCTCACCCTCTTCTGACACGTAGACCATCTGCATGTCCTCCCTCTCTGACTCTTCTCTGTGTTTTCTACTTATGCTTATCTGCTTTTACTCTTTGCAGACAATACACAACATTAATTGTGTAAAAAAATTATGTTCACCTTTCACACTGTAGGTGTTACATCACCTTGACTCAGTCACTCCACCTGAACATGAGTGGGGCCCCGTCAGGCCCTGCTGGAACAGGGAAGACTGAGACCACAAAGGATCTTGGCAGAGCCATGGGTGTCATGGTATACGTCTTCAATTGTTCTGAACAGATGGACTACAAGGTGCGAAATTCCGTACATCAGAGTTATTGCCATTGGTCAGTTTATGTTTTCATTTAGAGGTTTCAGTAAAGAAATATATTTTAATGCAAAATTTCTGTGATGCTTATTTTTATGTTTAGTCCATTGGAAATATTTACAAGGGTCTGGCACAGACTGGAGCATGGGGCTGCTTTGATGAATTCAATCGTATCCCCGTGGATGTTCTGTCGGTTGTAGCGGTGCAGGTTAAAACCATTCAGGACGCCATTCGATCTAAAAAGGAAAGGTGGGTAATTGAAGAAGAATACATGAAGTTTACATCATGTTAATTTTACTTAAAAAATAAGTTAACAGCGTGTGCCACCTCACAGGTTCCTGTTCCTCGACAAGAACATTGCTTTAAAACACTCGGTTGGGATTTTCATAACTATGAATCCTGGCTATGCAGGGAGGACGGAGCTACCTGAGAACCTCAAGTCTCTTTTCAGGTGGGAATGATGCACCCACCTTTTTAAATATATATAAAATGTCATTTTTCAGCAGAGAGTTCACCGTGTGCTTTGTCTGTCCTCCTGTAGGCCCTGTGCCATGGTGGTGCCAGACACTGAAGTCATTTGTGAGATCATGCTCGTGGCAGAAGGCTTCCGTGATGCTAAGCTTTTAGCCAAGAAGTTCATCACTCTGTACACTCTCTGCAAGGAACTGCTCTCCAAGCAGGTATGAGTAAGACACTTAGTAGCTCTGTAACATTTCACATTGTTGAATTAGAACAGAGGGCACCAGTAATAAATCTTTCTAGATTTGCCTCAGGAGCACAGCAAAGCACTAGGAGTTTGTTTGGATTTATGGTTAGTGTAAACGTGGGAATGCACATTTTCATTTTCTTTTGTTATTTTTTGTTTATCAGGACCACTATGATTGGGGTTTGCGTGCTGTCAAGTCTGTTCTGGTTCTGGCAGGGGCATTGAGAAGAAGAGACAAAACAAGAGTAGAGGATCAGGTGAACTGATATGTGCATTTTATGTCATATTTTATCTAATATCTCACGCTGATATTTGATCTCATACTCATTTTAATACCAAGGTGTTGATGCGTGCACTGCGGGACTTCAACATGTCTAAAATTGTGACAGAGGATGTGCCTGTCTTCATGGGACTGCTGGGAGACCTGTTCCCAGACATGGAAGTAGAACGAGAAAGAGACCTAGAATTTGAAAAGGCCATTCGAAAGACTACACTTAATCTTCGGCTGCAGCCAGAGGAGACATTTATCCTCAAGGTTTGAGATGAATCTGTTCATACCTACTCTAAAAAGGATTAAAGAACCCTCTTTTAAGCACCTTTATTTTTGTTAGGTGGTGCAGCTGGAGGAGCTCATGGCTGTACGTCACTCTGTCTTTGTTGTTGGAAATGCAGGGACTGGAAAAAGTCAGGTTAGATTTTTTTTCTGTGTCACTTGCTGTCTAAATAAATGTTCAGCTGAATTTGTAACATAAATATGAATGGTAAAGTGCTGGTATTTTTATTAACAGATATTGAGAGTTCTCCATAAAACTTATGTAAACCTGAAAAGGAAGCCTGTATGGAATGACCTCAACCCAAAAGCAATAGACAGAAATGAGCTATTTGGCTTCATCCATCCTGCAACTCGAGAATGGAAAGATGGTAAAAAAAAAATGCATTAAAAACAAGATAGCAAAACCTCAACAAAAAGACCAAATCTCACTCTTGTTCTATGCACCCCAAATTCCTGTTTGCTAGGTTTGCTTTCATCACTGATGCGAGAACAGGCAAACATCTCCCACAGTGGACCTAAGTGGATTGTGTTGGATGGAGACATTGATCCGATGTGGATTGAATCACTCAACACAGTGATGGATGATAACAAGGTACCTCCCTCCTTTTCACTCATACACTATTGTAGACACATAGCAACCAAGGTGGTATAGATAGAAAAAGATGTTTCTCTCCCCTTCCTTCAGCAATCAGCTCCTGAAGTGTGAGTACTTGGAGGTTCTTTTCCACAGCAATGAATCATGTCATACTTGATGAGATATGGGGGTGTTTTCTTATCATTTGGGTAGAGTCTTGTCCATCATATTGGCCATTCAGATGTCGTAGTATTAATGTTTCACAATGTCTCTCAGGTACTGACTCTAGCCAGTAATGAACGTGTGGCGCTTACTTCATCTATGAGACTGATTTTTGAAATCAGTCACCTAAGAATGGCGACTCCTGCCACTGTGTCCAGAGCAGGTATCCTCTATGTTAACCAGCAGGACCTGGGCTGGAACCCGTGAGTTACACAGACTTCAAATTAATCACATAGTATCTAATATCGGATACCTTTTCTGTGGTAATTTTGTGTAATCTTCTGGATTTGGGTTGCTGCTCAGGTACGTTGCCAGCTGGATTGACCAAAGAGAACGGCAGACTGAAAGAGCCCATCTCACCATACTGTTTGAGAAATACGTTCCACGTTGTCTAGAACAGATGAAAAACACTTTCAAGACAATCACTTCCATTCCAGAGATCTCTATGGTGCAGGTGCATATGACACAGAAACATGCGCAATGCGTTTATTTCTTCCCTTGTATACCTCTACTGGCAGAAAACTGAAATATAATATGCCTTTCTTTTCATTCAGACACTCTGCACTTTGCTCGACTGCCTTCTGACACCAGAAAATGTTCCTTCTGAATCCCCTCGTGAAATCTATGAGACCTATTTCACCTTTGCCTGCATCTGGGCATTCGGTGGGGCCTTGTATCAAGATCAGGTATTCATATAGTTTAATTTAGGTCAATTTTACATCATGCTGTGTACATTATAGCAGCTGTAAAGATAAGCTTTGACATGACAGTGAAATACTCTTTAGAAGTCTCTCATTCTGTGATATTTCAAACAGAAATGAATTTTATTTTCACAGAACTAAACATCAAGCGCAGTTAGACAGTACTATTGGTTTGTTTACTCAGTTATAGGATTATTTTTATTTACTTTTTCTAGCACTGTTATTGTAAAATAAAATTATTCATTAAAAATGTCAGGTAAACAGGACAGTTTTTTCAAGAATAAGCTTAACTGTCTAAATGACATGATGTGAATTAATCCATAACACTGTATGCTTCATTGCTTCATAAGCTCTGTGATTATCGAGCGGAGTTCAGTCAGTGGTGGACCAAAGAGATGAAGACTGTAAAACTGCCAGCACAGGGAACAGTGTTCGACTATTACCTTGACCATCAAACCAGGCGGTTTTTGCCCTGGAGTGACACCGTGCCACCCTTTGACATGGACACTTGTACACCATTACAGGTAAGAACATACCTATAAACTGCTAGAACTCAGAGTAGATCCCTCAAGAGAGAAAGGGAAACTTTTCAAAGTGGTTTTATAAATAATTACCTTTACAATCAAAAGAAGCAACCTCCTTACAGCAAAATAACCAAAAATGAACAATGCAGTCATATTAAAAATGTATGTATGCCTCAGTGAACATAATAAGAGAGGGTAAAGTCACATCCTGAGGTTATGGCAGGGGTGCTAGAATGGATGATAGGCTTGCCACTGTGTCTGATTACCATCCAGTACTCCCTATACCAGACTGTGTGGGGGTGAAGGCATGAGCAACAAGGCTTGAGCTATCACCCACGCTCTTTTGTCTTTCTTTATGCTCCTGTGTACAGCTGTGAATGCTCCAAAGGCTCTTGCTGAGCCATAATTAGTAGGGTTTTGTTCTGAGCAAATGATGCTATTATGACAGAATAGTTGTGGCGTTCAGGGGAAATACAAGAAATTATAAATCACGCACAATTCACTGAACACATGTCTGTCAATAAATCACACTCAAAGAAAGCCATAATAAGCATGTGTGTTTCTGTTCTGTGTCTTCCTGCTGTTTCTATGATTGCAGGCTGTTCTTGTACACACAGCAGAGACCGTGTGTCTTCGCTACTTCATGGACTTGTTGCTGGAGAGGAGACAGCCAGTGATGCTTGTGGGGAATGCCGGAGTGGGAAAGACTGCACTCGTCAGGAACAAGTTAGACTGTCTGCCAGAAAGTTACATGGCCACAAAAGTACCTTTGAACTACTACACCTCCTCCCTCATGTTGCAGGGTGAGTGGCGTTTTTGATTGTCATGTGGAACCGAGTAGCACATGCAATGAACTGTAGCACCACCTACTGGCAATGACTGTTAATGTCCGTGCACGACTCACACACTGCTTTATTTATTTATTTTATTTATATCTCTCAAAACTGCACTGTTGTACGTAGGTGTCACTTTATATTTTTCCCTAGAATGTCCTCTATCTTTCTTAACTCTAAATTCTTATTTACACCAAGTTGAGAGAGAAGCAGTATTTCGATTATCCTGTGTGTCCAATACACGTAGTGAATTGCCAGTAAAAATCTTTGATCTTTAAAAATCTTAGTTAAATTTGGTTCAGTCAATGTTTTTATTGCTGTTCATTTGTTTATTTCTGTTGCAGCAATCTTAGAGCGACCATTAGAGAAAAGAGCAGGCAGAAGCTACTCCCCTGTAGGCAACAGAAGGCTGATCTACTTTATAGATGACATGAACATGCCAGCTATGGACAATTATGGCACAGTGCAGCCTCACACACTTATACGCCAACATCTGGATTATGGGCACTGGTAAGACGACTCTGCACACGCCAAGCCAAAACAAGTCAAGTCAGAGATTCTGTATAGTTTCTCTAAGGAGCACAGACAGACATAGCATAACAGCATAGGCAAGAATAAAAAAACCATGCAAACAATATGAACAAACAGTACCTGTTTTTCAGCTGTAACTTTAAATCTCGTGACAGTTTTTTTTTTTTTGATTAGCCATTGAAACCTTCTTCAATTTCCTTCTCTCTGCAGTTATGACAGACAGAAACTGACCCTGAAAGAAATACATAATACCCAATATGTTGCCTGTATGAATCCAACTGCTGGGACTTTCATTATCAACCCCAGATTACAGGTATGATAGTAGGTAAAACTGTTGTATATACCAACATAATCTATTTTTCAAAAAATATAGTTATGCAGAGCAGTGCTGATGGTTTGAGTTGTAGTTTAAATTAATCTAAATTAAAGTGGATGTGCAATAATGCACAAATCCTGCATTATCATGCTTTTTTTCATTGCTTTCTAATCTTCAGAAACTGTTTTAAACCTTATTTTAAATGTTGATAAATTTAATCTCCTGAGACCCTACATGCTCATATGGGGACATTACATCTGCACCTTTTACTTTATTCTGACATACAGTGTTTTATATTTGTTACTTACTTTTATACTTTGTTAAGCAATGGCAATTTTATTTACTTATTCTGTAAAATTAGCCCATTGTCACCACATCACAAATGTTAAAAAAAGTATGTAACAAAGTTTGTTTGTTTACTCAAATAAGAGCTCGATTTCAACAGTGCTTTATATTGTGAAGATATTATGGGGGTTCTATTTTATTGGTGTGGGACTTCATACCACTACTTAATACATACTACTGCTACTACAAAGAAAACACAATATGTGTCAAGAATGATTGCTACTTCTACATTCATACATTTGTCACAGTGTTTGGTGTTTAACAGAGCCCATTTCTAAGCAAGATGTTATCTATACACATATATACTAAACACATTTTGCAATTTTTGTGTGCCTTTGCTCTCTACAGAGGCATTTCTCTGTGTTTGCAGTGAACTTCCCTTCATGTGATGCTCAGAGGTCGATCTTCAGTCAGATCCTGTGTAGTCATCTGAAGCAGCAGCTCTTCAGTCCCCTTGTTCAGAGTAGTGCTGCAGCTGTCATTCAGGCAGCCATAACTCTTCACCACAAGATGGTTCATAATTTTCTGCCCACAGCCATCAAGTTTCACTACACGTTTAATCTTCGAGATCTGTCAAATGTCTTTCAGGTATTGCCCATAGTAAACACTCATACAACTTGACTTGTGTATTAAAAGTAAAATATTAATATGATATGTGAAATTAAGGGCATCCTCTTCTCTGGACCTGAGAATGTGAAAGACAGTGCTGACCTGGCACAGTTGTGGCTCCACGAGTCCTGCAGAGTATACTCAGACAGACTGGTAGATCTAAAGGACCTGCAGCTTTTTCAGAAGTTCCAGTTGGAGACTATGCAAGAATGTTTTGAGGTGCAAAGCAGCTTTTGAGAAACAGAATAAACTGCTGCTTTTCATCATCACATAAAAACTTTACCCATTATTATTACTATGCCTGTTTCCTGTTTTCTTCTAGGGACTGGAGGATATAAAGGTGAAAAAGCAGCCCCTCCTTTATTGCCACTTTGCCCAGATGGGTGAGAAAGCCTCCTATGCCCCTGTCACAGACTGGTCTGCACTCAGCACCATCCTCATGGATGCCCTGGAAAGCTACATTGAGATTCATCCAGCCATGAACCTAGTGTTGTTTGAAGATGCCATGCAACATGTGTAAGTGGAGCTGGTTTCCATATAAATCTCATAGTTATAATAAAACTATGTCACACTGGAAAAATAATATGATGTAAATATAATTAGAACTATAATGAAGAGATGTGTTATTGCCAGCTGCCACATCAGTCGTATCTTGGAAACTCCAAGAGGTCATGGCTTACTGGTCGGAGTCGGGGGCAGTGGGAAGCAAAGCCTGACTCGTCTGGCTGCCTACCTATCCTCTGTGGAAGTCTTCCAAATTATTCTGAGTAAAGGTTACACAGTCCAGGACTTCAAGGTAAATACTGATCTTGGTGACAGATTAGAGCCAAGAACATGAACCACTGTTTGACTTTCACAGGTTATGAAAATGTAGAGGAAAAAACGTTATTTAAATCGAGGTGCCTTTAAAGAATACCCAGATGAGCTTTCCTTCTCGCCGAATGCAGCATATTGATATAATTCAGTTTTGCTGAGATCCTCCAGTGATGCATAAAATAATTGTCAGATACTATTAAAAGACACTGGGCAATATTTTAATACATTATTGATGAGGTAAGCCTATCAATTTATCATTTAAAAGCCTCTTAAAAAATCAAAGTGTTAATCATGGGATTTTAGATATCCAATTGATGAATTTATTGAACAGTTTGATCTTCATGCCACTCAATATGAATATTATCCATTCATGGCCTGTGTGGTTTTTGTGTAGATGGATTTGGCCGGTTTGTTCCTGAAGGCTGGAGTGCAGAACAAGCGTGTGGTTTTGCTCCTGAGTGACGCACAAATATCCGATGACCGGTTTCTGGTCATTATTAATGACTTTCTGGCATCAGGTCAGACCCAAACTCCAAATTAATTTACACTGTGTTGTTTCATCTGTTCACCTGACTCATATACCTGTTCGGTATATGTAGCATTTTTTCTTTATGATTGTGAAGTACAATCATACTTCAAATGCATTCAGCCTCTAAGATTGTTCTGTTCTGAATATCCATCATTAGCATTTGCTAGTCTGTAATAATGACTGTGTTTTGCTGTACAGGGGAAGTTCCTGAGGTTTTCAGTGAGGAGGAGATTGAAAGTATTGTGTCTGGGGTGAGAGCTGATGTGCGAGGCCTTGGTCTTCTGGACAACAGGGAAAACTGTTGGAAATTTTTCACAGATCGAGTGGGACTACAGCTCAAGGTTTAGTCTTTCAGATTTCGTATGTTTTTTTTAATCCACCAATGCATTTAAATTTAACATGTTCTGTTAGAGTTTTATTGGTAATCTGTCTTCTACAACAACAACTACCCCCTGATCCTTTAAAAGGTTCCAGTTATGCACTGAAGGCTGACATTAAAAAGTGAGATTATTAGCTCTGGATGAATTCAGGGCTGAAAATACACTGCATGAATTGAGTGCCCGGATCCCGAAGAACATCTGGAATAACCTCTCTCTTTTCTCATTTCAATTTTATTATAAGCTGTTAAAAAGTAAGAATTGAAATGTTTCATTTTTGCCCTGTCTTCATCCCCAAAACACCCGGATCCCAATCTGGATCAGGATTGACTCCAAAAGTTAATCACCTCCAGGCTGGGTCAAATCCTACTACTGGTAAATTTATCATGCAAATCCATTCATAACTTTTAGAGAAATTCTGCTACCAAACAAACAAACTAAAATAAAGAGAAATTCTTACACATACATTAGATTTGAGCTGGGGAAATTAAAAGCACAGCTGCTGTTTAATATTACTAAATATGTTTAACAAGCTGAATTAACCAAGCCTGACAAAGTGGGGGGGTTAAAAGGAAGGAAATTCTTTTCTCAGTCACTACACATGTATGCCATCCAGCTAGTGTTTGCGCCAGGGCCTCTGGTAGCGTCACCGTCTGCTCCAGCCAACTGGGAATGTAGCTCCTGTCTATGTGCCAAGGTGTTGAAAGTGGGGGCCCAGGCTGCTGCCAGTTTCCCTTTGGAGATGCATCATTTCAATGTCTGTGACCTGTGTTGATTTTCCTACGTGTACTCTTTGATGAAGTGTGTTTCTACTAATCTTTTAGTGCACATGGTAGACTTTCTCTCTTTGCTTTCTTCTTTGCAGGTAGTCCTGTGTTTCTCTCCTGTGGGCAGTGTTCTGCAGGTTAGGGCTCGTCACTTTCCAGCCCTCATCAACTCCACAATCATCGACTGGTTTTATTCTTGGACCCCTGAAGCTCTGCAGTCAGTCAGCTACAGGTTCATCCAAGAAGTTGAAGGCATTGAGGTCAGGCTTTTGAACCCAAGAACAATATCTCATAATCTCTTATAACTTAACAGTCATATTCTGTACAACACAACATGTGCCAAATTACTAAAAAAAACAATATCAGCTGTCAGATATGTATGCAGCTGGTACTGTATCTTGCCTTGGTTTGTCATGTACCCTGATATTCGGGACTCAGTTGGACTTTAATGAACACCTTGTAATTATTGCTGTGCAGCTGGATTAAGTTTTCCATGGATCCTTCATCATTAGTTCTCTTCTGAGGTTCTGACAAATTGCCGAACACATGCCTGGGGACACTCAGTGAGTGCAACATATCATTGTTTTCCATCATGGCAGTGGAATGATCACAACCCAGACTCATTTATGTTAATGAGAGAAGAGTGATTAAGCACATAACGACCCTCTAAGGTGGCACAGCTGTCACAACCAGGAAGCGTCATCACATATGTGAACATGTGCCAGACCATTACTTTCCACTCTTGAGTGTTGTGCATGTTCATGTGCAGGCGTGTCTTGTTGTAATAGTAGTTGTAGTGCTTAGAAGTTGTGTGATGATGATGATGACGATGATTAGGGGATGTTGCAGCTGTAGTAGATTCGTGCACAAGGGTGGCGGTAGGACTAAAGTTCTCCTGTAACCAAAATATATGTATGAGAGCTTAAATAGTATAATCAAATCAAATGAAAAGTATATCTTTATAGGTGCAGAGGAGAAGAAACCAAAAACAATGTGAAACTGTACATGTAAAGTAATTTATTAAACCATTGTTAATGATTGTTTATCTTCTTAAAGAGGCAGGACTGCAAGAAATGAAATGATCATTCATTTAAAGTTAGAAATGCACAACCTGCTAATAGTTGTTACACAAGGCCAATCAGAGAGTTTCTGTCGCATCTCAACAGAGCACAGCACGCTTTGTCAAGTGCATTGTGTCAGATCTTAATTAATAATGATTTTTTCCCTGTGGCTCTGTGATCATTAACAATGGCTTTTTGTGAGTTATGGTCAGGTTTGATCCTTGTATTCTCTGATCATTTGTTTTTGCTTTAATTGATCACTAACTGTGTGATTAATGCAGGCTGTGTGTCATTGTGTGCCGTATGATGAATACCAAGTCAGGATGCAGTATTATGGTCACAGTAGATGGTGTTTATAAAGTTGGAGGCCACCAGATATAATGTAAGCAGTGTGCATGTTTTACAAGCTTGCACGTCAGTGGTCTAAACACATTATTTTCACAGAGGTTTCAAAGCATAATCATTTCTGCTAGCTGCACCTAAATTTCAGATTGAGTAAGTCAGGGCCGGCCAAGTAAGATGGCAAAACTTGTAGATGAATTCAAAATTTATGAAGATAATATTTCAGTTCCCATCAGGCCTGGGATGTTAAACTCCACTCAATCCAGCTCACCCTGTTCGCCCCTCTCCCCCCTTGTCTGCTTATTTTTACAGCCTGCCGTCCAGGAATCCATCAGTCTTTTCATGGCCTATGTTCACACTAGTGTCAACCAGGCAAGTGAAAAATACCAGCGCAATGAGAAGAGGTACAATTACACCACCCCCAAGAGCTTTCTCCAGCAAATCACCCTGTACAGAAACCTTCTGGAGAAAAGCCGGGCTCAGCTTCAGCACAAGATGAACCGACTCGACAGCGGCCTTCAGAAACTCCAAACCACTGCTGCTCAGGTAAATCTTTAATCTGCACTGTAGGCGACTGATTTCTGGGCAAGAGATGTTAGGCTAAGGTAAACAACAGACAGTACTTCCTTTTTTATGCTTTTCCATGACATTAACTATTTCACAAATTGAAGTATTGTGAGTATGTTTCTTTTTTATATATACAGGTTGAAGATCTAAAAGCTAAACTTGCATCCCAAGATGCTGAACTGACCCTTAAAAATGAGAACATCGAAGCTCTGATTGCTAAGATTGGACAGCAAACTGAGAGGGTGAGCAGCAAGAGAGAGGCTGCAGATGTTGAAGCACAAAAGGTGACTAGTCCTGTCACATATTGTATAACACACATTCTTTGGCATTGCACTCTACATACCACATTGTTAAATAGATGTGTGGAATCCAATTTGTTATGGTTGCTTTTGTGCAGGTTGCTGTGATCCAGGCAGAAATTGCTGTCAAACAGAAGGAGTGTGAAAATGACCTATCCAAGGCAGAGCCGTTACTGGCAGCCGCCACAGCAGCACTGAACACCCTCAACAAGGTACTAGATTTTATCAGACTAGACAGAATTACGTAAAAATTTGCAGTCTTTCTCAATATATGATGTTATATAATATTCTTTCAGGTGAATCTTACTGAGCTGAAGGCCTTTCCAACCCCCCCGGCAGCAGTAATCAATGTAGCAGCAGCTGTGATGGTCCTGCTGGCCCCTCGTGGTCGAGTGCCTAAGGATCGGAGCTGGAAGGCAGCACGGGCCTTCATGGGCAAGGTTAAGCCATCATCATGTCAATTGCATCTGCCTGATTAATGTCAATCTAATTTGTGAGTGGGCCTTGACCCTGGCCCTGCCCAACTCTAGTGCTCACATTACAGCTGGATGGCTCTATGAATTTGCTCACTCACTGTTGGAGCAAGTGTGCAAACCTCCCTCCTCTGCTTCTTGCTTCTGTTAATGCAAGTGTGACTGGAAAACGTTTGGTTTTAATTGCATTTGATTAATTATTTTAGATGCCAGCTTCGGGTATCACTTTTAAAAATTTTCACCACAGGACTTAATCCTAAGAATTGTTGATGAGAGGAATCAAATATAACCCTCATTTTGTGGGACTTTCTCTTTTTTAAGCAAAGAATTAAAGTGTTTGAAGTGGTTATGATTCGCAACATGCTCTATTTGTGTTCCATTTTCAGCCTTCATCAAATGCTGTCTCATTTGTTTTGGTTTTTGTGTGTCAGGTGGATGATTTCCTGCAGGCCTTGATGTCGTATGATAAGGAGCACATCCCTGAGTCATGCCTGACTGTGGTGAAACAAGAATATCTGAGAAACCCAGACTTTCACCCTGATCTAGTTTGGACCAAATCTACAGCTGCAGCTGGTCTTTGTGCCTGGACCATTAATATTGTGAGATATTACGAGGTCAGCCATTGCATTCAAATAAACTCTAAGGCAGTTTCTTATGTTTCCTATGAGAAATCTTATTCTTCATTTTAAAGTTGTTGTTTTTTTTCACACATGCTGTATTTATTTTTTATTTATTTTGCAGATCTATTGTGAGGTGATTCCAAAAAGGCATGCCTTGTCACAAGCTAATGCAGAGCTAGAAACAGCAACAGCCAAACTGTTGGCACTTCAAAAGAAGTTGGCAGTGAGTACAATGTTATTCTTACCTAAGTCACTCAGTCTAAAAACTGCATTTTCTTTATCGTTTTTAATTTGCATGGCTTCCTTCCTTTTGTTTCTATAGGATCTTGATGCCAGCCTCCAGAACATAACAGCTCAGTATGAAATGGCTACAGCTGAGAAAATCAGTTGTCAGGAGGAGGTGATGCGTACCACCCAGACCATAGAGCTGGCCAACCGACTAGTCAAGGGCTTAATGGTAAACAAGGGGAGATAGAGGAGTTTGGTCGTGTCATTGGGGCTGACCTGGCATACAGTTAACTGTCAATTTGCTGGAGATATGCATGGAGAGGTGCTGGTAATAGAATTGCATCAGTAATCTGGACTGGAAGTTGTTATGTCCTGGCAGGATGGCCTGACAGTTGTGTGAGCAGATCAGGCAAAGGGAGATTTTACAGCCCAGCCCAGCAGCATACCAGGGACTTGTGAGACAGGTAGAGAGGGCTGGACCACTGAAAACGCATGGCTGAACTGGGCAACTGGCTGGCTGAGCAGTTTCCAAATTGAGGAGTGAAGAGAAATGGCAAGAGGTCTACACTAACACTACCCTGTTTCTGTGTGGTAGATATGTGAGCACTTCTGAGCTTGTCCAAAGAGTAAAAAATTATTTCTTCAGAAGTTTGTTTTTTTTTTTGTTTTGTTTTTTTTTAATTATTTGAAAAAGTGCAGATGGGAAATTATGGAATGTGGAGAATATAAATGTCGATAGCTGCATATTTATGTAGCTGGTTTAATATAACATTCAACTTTGCTGCATTCCTTTGCATGTCTTTTTTAGTCAGCCAAATCTTTATCTTTATGGATGCTAATATGAAATAAAATATGGTCATTTCAGTGGCCATTTTGCAAGTTCGACTTCCTTATTCCAGAAAATAAATGTGGTTTGCATGGAACGGTTTGGCTTTTAAGCATATCAAGATAAATGTTTTGTCTTTATGGCATTGACCTGGAAGCAATAGTGTACAGACTAATAAATCAGGCCGTCTATATTTAATCATTAACTTACCTCAAAGCCTCAACAGCTGTTGGAAATTAACAATGTCTCACCCCAGACTGAGTGATATTACAGGCAATCCATAATACATTAGAGTAAAATTATAGTGATTTTTAACTGTCTGAGAATTTATTATGTGACATATTCTAGATCCACAGCCCCTTGTAAGAAAATGCCATGCGTGATTTATTGTTGTAGGCTGTCACAGTCACAGTATTGAAGGTTTAAATGAATGCTAAATTGATGCCGAGTGAATCTACAGCCAAACACCCAGAGTTATTGTAAGGGAATTGCAGTTGTATGCTTTACTGCTTACATCTTCTTAGTTTGCATGATAAATGTGAGCAGTGGGAAGCTGCCTAGGATGCACATAATTCAGAAGCACAGATTGTTTACTTCTTGATGTAAATGGTCATGAGATGGACTGCTCTCTTTGGTATTTTGTGTGTATTTTTTAAAGATGATATTGAAGCTTGCTGTTTGTGTCTTATAGTCAGAGAAGGAGCGCTGGTCCCTGAAAATTGTCCAGTTTGAAAAGCAAAAGAAAACCCTGTGTGGTGATGTGCTCCTCACGTCAGCATTTGTCTCCTACATGGGTTACTTTACCAGCCAGTATCGTGTGGAGCTTTTTAACAACAAGTGGATTCCTTTCCTTAGATCTCTGAAGGTAAGCAACATACTTTCACTACCATCCTTCTTTCTCTGAGTCTGAACTGGAGTGCACAGCCACCAGTGCTTGAACCAAAATGACATCATTCCTGTGTTTCTGTTCCAGGTCTCTGTACCCCTGACAGACGGCCTGGATCCAGTCCTCATGCTTACAGATGATGCCACCGTGGCTGCTTGGCATAACCAGGGTCTGCCAAATGATAGGATGTCTATTGAGAACGCGGCCATCCTGACCACCAGTGAGCGTTGGCCACTCATCATCGACCCACAGCAGCAGGGCATCAAGTGGATCAGAAATCAGCTAGCGTCAGAGCTGAGGGTGGTGCAGCTTGGACAGAAAGGGTGAGAAGCGGTAAATTATTGTCAGTTTTGCTGTCACAGTGTGATTGTATTACTCGTGCCAGTGAGTGCTCATGAAACTTAAAAATTTGCAGCTCCAGTCATGTTTCTTTTTCTTGTTTTTTTTCTTTCTATACAGTTGTTTAGATGTGATTGAACAAGCTCTTGTCTTTGGGGAAACTGTCGTGATAGAGAACCTGCCAGAAAAGGTAGACCCGGTTCTGGAGCCTCTACTAAGCAGGAAAACTATTAAACAAGGAAGGTTGGTACTAAAACATGAACAGTACACGTTTAAGCATTTTTTAGCTTGAAAAGGTCATTAAAAAAACCCACTACTGCTCTGTTACGTAGCATTGGTGCTGTTGCACACCAAATAATGCTTTAAATCAATATGCGGTTTTTGCATCACCGTTCCTTCATAAGTTGATATACCCACAACTTGTCCCAATGCATCTGTCGTGTGAGACAATAGAAGCACATTTGCCAGATGGTTGAATCTCACTGAGCTTTGAAGCACCAGTAAGACATGTCTGAATGCATTATTATTGCCTGCTCTTTAGATTATAAATGAATTTTGCGGCACATCGCCTGAATCCCTGAGGCCAACATATTGATTGGCCCCTCAAGACTGGTGATGGATGTATATTTGTGCGTTCATATTCTTTAGGTGCAGTGAATATTGAACAGCTTAGCCTAAGCGTAAAGGCTGAATTCAGCACAATCATGGTTATGTAAAAAGACTCCTGTCTCCTACAGAAAAATGGCATCTAACACAATAAATTCATAAGTCGTCTATCACCATGAAAGACTCAAGTCAGCTTCAGTAACCTAACTAAACACTGTAACTGTAGGTGGTTTGCTCGTATTTGTCTCCATACTGTACCTTTAGAGCAATTGTGGACTAATTTATACATTTACACTACATTTGGATTTCTTTTAACCAGAGTGGGGTCATATTTGTGAATTATATCATTAAGTTTGTCAAATAGTGCTGCTATTTAAATTTATTTACTGAAAATGAAAAATTTATATCATATAAAGAAAATGTATACCATAGTGTCCTAAACAATCCAGTGTCTTTATAGTCATGGTTAGAGTTACTTTCAAGTCTCTCTTGGCAGTCTTGCCTTTCAGTTACTGCAGTATTTTATTGCAATCTCAGCTTATCTACATTTTCTACATTATGGTTGACTAAAGTGAGATAAGCACCATTTAGTACTATAACAACTCTCACACACAAACAGCACTCACATCCATCAATAAATCCACTAAGTTAGACCCTCGATTCCAGCCCAACTAGTGGTGGCAGATGGCTGCCCCTCCGTGAACCTGGTTCTGAATCTGATTCAGAATCAGAATACTTTATTAATCCCTAAGGAAATTATGTGGGTTCTGCAAGAGGTGTCTTCCTGTTAAAGGGGAGTTTCTTTTCCACTGTTGCCAAAGTGCTAGCTCATAAGGGTTTTTGTGATTGTTGCAGTTTTCTCTGTTTTCTTTGTATTCTTGTAGGGTCACTGCCTACATTACAATATAAAGCATCTTGAGGCAACTGATGTTGTGATTTGGAGCTATATAAATAAAACTGAATTGAATATAATAAGTATAATAGGTATTGCTTTATTGTGTGTGTGAAGCACTGGAGACAAGTGAACTGTTTAGTTCTTAATTTAATTACTGATTTGTTGTCTGGTCTTGCTGCATTCTAGCAGTCTTGGCTTAGTCAAGCTTTTCCTTGATGAACAAATGTGCCTTATTGGCTGTAGTGTGAATCTGTTTTAAGCATACAAAGCAAGAAATGCATATTTTACTGAAATTTGTTAATTTTTGTTGGGGGGGGTGGGGTTTGTTTTTTTTTTGTTAAACATTTGGATGTTTATATCTTTGGCTTGGTGTTGTTATAGTCCTTAGTTTGAAAGTGATGGATCTAGCTTCCAGGTCTGAAAAGTGAGCTAGTGTTGGAGTTTTTTCTAATGGCCAGCAGCAAGTGAACTTCTGGTTGGAAAAGAAGAAAATATCCACTTGTATAAAATTACCCTCTGGTTCCTTTGGTCTGTAACCTCAGTAAACACCTTCCTGATGAATTTACGAGCTGAATGTGACACAACATCAAGTAAATTTGGTAAATTATGGTCCCCATTAGAGTCAAAGAGGAGGATAAAGCAGGATATTATAATAGGTCACTACAATATGTGTGTGCACTATGTTCAGTTTCTCATTTAGTTCCACCTCTCCTCTCCGTCTTGTGTAGTTTCAGAAAATCAATATGCAGAGAGCAAAAATGTCAAGTCCAAGGCTTTACAATCGGAGTTTACTAACTTGTGTGTGTCATCAAAGTGGTTACATCCATTTTTAAATATAGAATTTCTTTACTCAGTAATGATGTTTTACATAAAACATTATAACTATAACTATATAATTTCTGGCATAAACATAATAATATACACAACCTCATAAAATAAATAAAATCATTATAAAATTAGTACTTACTAATATTAGCAACTATTATTACTAATCACCAGAGTTTAATTAATTAACAATTTAATGTTTGTAAGCAATGGCTATTCTAAAAAGCCACCAATTAAGTTAATATCAATTTGAAGCGGTCAAATCTTTTTGCAAAATCATCGCCCCTGGGAATTCTTTTGGCGGTGATACTCGTGCATTTGTAGTTCACTAATAATTAAGCTTTGTTACGACAATATGGTGACTTTTATTATAAGGTTATTATTATTATTATTATTATTATTATTATTATGATGATGATGATTAAAAAGACGACAACTCTCTCTGATTTCAAACTCGGTTTTTCAAACACGACCACTATTCTGGTGAAAATTTCCAAACCACTGGTGTCACTAAAGTAGCTGCTCTGCAAATACCTCAGTTACCAAAGAAAAATACAGTAAATTCCATAAACTGGACAAGCAACAGCAGAATAAATAGAAAATATGACATATTGACATCCTGCTTTGATCTCCTACTCAGAAATGTTTACATCTTTCTTGCTCTGATATTTGTAAGACCATGAATATTGAATATTCGGGCGAATGTTCATCGAGCGTCTTTTGAAGCCCTGTCTGTCCAGGCGTAACAATTCATCATAGTAAATCTGATTATAAGTTTATCCCTTGTAGATGACCCACACGCTTGTTTCTGTCGATGATTAATACAACCTGCTGGGGCGGCCATGATGGATCTCGTAGGTCTCCACAGCTGAAGTTCATTAATAATTGGAATGTTGTAGAGTGTGAAGTAATGAATACTAATTATTCCTTTCATGGCTGACGGAAGACTACAAGCCAATCCATCAGCAAGGACTTTAATTTGGTGGAGTAATGGTTCTATCAATAGTACATTAATTCTGGCTTGTGAAGATATAGAGTTGAACCAGACCCAGGCCATGAGGAACCTGTGCCATAAAAATTGGGGCCTTGCCTGACATCCAAGGGGTAATTAGAGATAAATGAAAAGCCACCAGGTTCGTCAAGCCACTGCTAATTTAATTGAAATGCAGGAACAGATAAATATTGGCTGGTGCCATGATAATCTTTCATATTTACTCAAGAATATTTGTCTATAGGGTAAGTGACATTTGGAGCCAAACTAAAGTTGTAGGGCAAAAACAGAAGTGCAGTTCAGACCATCTTCATCATAATCATGGCTTGCTTCTTTTAAGTACACTTCCTGCCAGGTAACAAGTCTAACAAGGGGGTACGATACCAGGCTGTCTTCTTTTTATCACTTACTTCTATAATCTAAATAACCAACATGCTGTTGAGGCCTCATTGTCCTTCAGATTAAATAAATAAAAATATTTGTGGTCCTATTATCCAGGTACATTCTAATTGGAGGCAAGGAGTGCACTTACAACAGTAATTTTAAACTCATTCTTCACACCAAGTTGGCCAATCCACATTTCCCTCCTGAGCTCCAGGCCCAGACCACCCTGATCAACTTCACCGTGACTCCTAAGGGCCTGGAGGAGCAGCTGCTGGGACAGGTAGTCTCTCGGGAGAGACCTGATTTGGAGGAACTAAAGGTAATCCACAGATGAAAGTTACATTCTTTTTCGAGTAAAGCATTTTGTCTACATGATAATCCTTAATACCTGATAGGAAAAATGTGCAGTTTTGAACTGTTCTGAGTACATTTTCCAAGACGAAGCTGACCACGCAGCAGAACCACTTCAAGATTGAGCTGAGAAGGTTTGAAGATGACCTGCTGAGTCGCCTCTCTGCAGCCCATGGTAATTTTCTAGGGGATATTTTTCTGGTGGAGCAACTTGAGAATACCAAGACTACAGCCGCTCACATTCAATGCAAGGTAAGGCTATTTTTCTTTTTGTTGTTTTTTTGTCACTCGGTTGTTTTTTTTGAATGTCATAAACAGCAAGCACCTCATTTTATTGCATTAGCTGCAAATGATGTGTAGTTAGGAATAAGTGTAATGAGAGGGTTTTGGAGCATGACTGAGAGCCTAATAGCTCATTTTGTGCAATTGGAACTCACAGGTGGCGGAGGCCAGAGAGAACGAGAGAAAGATCAACGAGGCTCGAGAACTATACCGCCCAGCAGCTGAGAGAGCATCGCTCCTCTTCTTTATCATCGACAACCTCAGCAAGATTAACCTGATGTACCAGTTTTCTCTCAAGGTGAAACCTTTACCCCTGAAGTGCTCTTAGAGGACAGATATCGCTTTGTGGTTTTTGCAATTATTATTTATCTTTATGTAAAAATGTCCCTCTATACCAGATGTCAGTCCAAAAAAACTTGTTTGCATACACATGGTGTCCTCGTTTTTGTTGCATTCCAGACCTTTAACTCGGTGTTTAATAAAGCAATGGAGCGTGCCGAATGGGATGAGGATGTGAGGACCAGAGTCCGCTCCCTCACTGAGGCCATCACCTATTCTGTATTCCTGTACACCAGCCAGGGCCTGTTTGAGAGAGACAAGTTAACCTTCTTGTCACACACTGCCTTCCAGGTGAGGGACTCAGGACCGCCTCAGAGGTGGGGCCTCCTGTCATCCTCATCAATCAAAGTACTTTTCTTCCCCCACATTAACTTCAATTAAAAGCAGTCAGGAATACCATACGCTGCTATTGATTACCTCTCACACCTTGCACCGTGGCTGCTGCTCACACAGTTGGTTCTGACAAGGGGGCTGGTTCTGATGGCATAATGCAATTATCTGTCATTGCACCAACTGTTTTCATCTTGGAAACTGTGGCACTCTGAAGGCTGTCCTTCATGTGGCTATTTCACATTCAGAGGCCTGTAAAAGTTTACCCAGCACTATTTCCTGAGTTTTCCCATTTTTATTTCAGTAGCCGTGGAAATTATATCAATAACAGAGAGCTCATGAACTGCTTTTGGTACTTCTCCTCAGATTCAGCTCAAGGAGAAACTGATTGATATTGAGGAATTAGACTTCTTGCTGCGCTATCCCGTGGAGGCAAGCAAAGTTAGTCCAGTGCCGTTCCTCTCTATGTCTGCCTGGGGGGCCATTAAGGTACAGTAAATATTAAGATGACACATTCGACAAATGAAAAGTTCATATTTTCACTCTTTAAGTGAAGTATCAATGTGTGTTTCTTTGTTGCAGACAATTTCTACAATTGAGGGCTTCAGTGGACTTGACAGAGACATAGAGAGCTCACCGAATCGCTGGAGGAAGATAGTTGAGTCCAGCTGTCCTGAAAATGAAAGGCTTCCTCAAGACTGGAAGAATACGAATTCCCTCCAGAGGCTGATTATCCTGAGAGCTCTTCGCCCTGATCGGATGACCTACACACTAAGGTGAGTAAACTCACTAAAGCACATTTGTGTTTCTAGTTATTGTACACAACTGAGCTTTTGATGATGTCTCCTGGCAGGAAATTTGTAGAGGAAAGCATGGGAGCTAAGTATGTGGACAGTGCCAGGCTGGAATTTGAGAGGCTGTTTGAAGACAGCGGTCCCTCAACACCTGTGTTCTTCATCCTCTCACCTGGAGTGGATCCACTCAGAGATGTAGAGAAACTTGGTATGATGTATATTCTTTGTTAGTTACAAATCCTGTATTGTTATTTATGCTCAGATTTTCAAAATTGTCTTTGTGTGCAGGTTTAAAACTGGGATTTTCCATTGACCAGGGAACTTTGCACAATGTGTCCCTGGGACAGGGACAAGAGATAATGGCTGAGAGGGTTCTCAAAAATGCCTCTAAACATGGACACTGGGTCATTTTGCAGGTAGGGAATCCTATTATTCAATGACTGCTGCAGTTCCAGTTGGCTTATAAAGCACCTAATGATATTATCTAACCCCCGGAGCAGGGGAAATAAATTTGGTTCAATAAAAACCATAATTGCCTAGATCAGCTCACTAAATGGCTCCTTTAAGGCAAAGTCTGTTGCCAAGTAAAACAGTGGTTTCAGATCAGAACACAGAGAGACAGTTTTCATGGCATTTACTATGAAATTAAATTTACACACAAATTCTATCAACCTGTTACATATTCTACCTTATTTTGATGCTCAGAATGTACACCTGGTGGCTATGTGGCTGCCCTCTTTGGATGCTCTTCTGGAGACAACAGCCGTGGACAGTAACCCCAGCTATCGGGTTTTCATCACCGGAGAACCCGCGCCATGTCCTGAGCAGCATGTAATCCCCAGAGGCATATTGGAAAATGCCATCAAAATCACCAACGAGCCACCCACTGGAATGAATGCCAGCTTGCACGCAGCCCTCGGCAACTTCAGCCAGGTAAAATGGGAAAATATGCTTTATTTCTAATATGCTTCGACTGTAGTAGTCACTGAAATCTTCACTTGTTTTCTTTCTCCTTTCAGGACACTCTGGATATGTGCTCCAGAGAACAAGAGTTCAACTCGATGCTCTTCTCCCTCTGCTTTTTTCATTCCTGTGTAACGGAGCGCCGTAAATTTGGCCCACAAGGGTGGAATAACAACTACCCCTTCAGCACGGGGGACCTAACAATCTCAGCTAATGTCTTGTACAACTACTTAGAGACCAACACAAAAGTATGTTTAGCACTATTTTCTACAGCTAAACTGACATTTTAAGTTTTATTTATTTTAATTTAGCATTTCGATTACTGTAATACAACTTTTAATTTGTTTTTGCAGCTACCTTTTTTGCCGGCTAAATTTATAATGATAATGGTACTTAGCATTGGCATTTCTAACAGACGGTAATGTTGAATTACTGCAGTGTCTCCAATTACTTATTGAAATCTTTTGTCCCACTGTTATTTGTGAAAAATGTTCATTCCCATCTTTTTTTATTCCACATTTCTTCTCTTATAACTATGAACACGCAACCTGTAATTTAGCTTTATTTCACATAGACAAAAAATCCATTCTTAAGGTGCTGCTCCCCTCACAACTGCTAATGCATTGCTCTTAGGACTCCTATTACTCTGGTCATAACCAATTATGTCTCCCAGGTATTCTGCCCTCCAAAAACGAATGTCCTTCATTATGTTAACCAAACAGTAACCTGTATGTGCGTATACAGAGAATTCATTAGGAGGGCAATGAAGCGTTATCCTAAATGTAATTACATGCAGCCAATGTGACAGTTCACAACGCTACATAAGTGATCACTGCAATTAGAGCTGATGAAGGAAGCAATTTGCAAAACAATACAGGTACAAATGATTGTGAACCTACAGCTTTTGTAATTTGTTATGAATCACAGCTTCTTTTCTTCCTCCTTCACCCTCACGGATCACAATCTCCCGCTGTGGAAAAGACTCTTCTGTCGCACTTCAGATCAGTGTGTATAAGAAACATAATTTTGCTATATTTCCCTACTGTTGTCATTATGAAAAATAGCCTATCTCGGAGGTTGTTTGCTTGAAGTTTAAAAACAAAAAAAACTTTTTTTTTATCAGGAAAATAGAAACGTGTCTCTATAAGAGAACAAAAATGAACCCTGGGAATAATTTTAATAAACCTACCACAATGCATTCGTGCCTTATATTTGCAAAATGATTTTAGTCAATAACATCTATTGCAGTTCATGCAGGTGCCTTGGGAGGACTTGTGTTATCTGTTTGGAGAGATCATGTATGGAGGACACATTACTGATGTCTGGGATAGAAGACTGTGTAAAACTTACCTGCAGGAATTTATGCATCCTAAAATGGTAAGGCAGAGGTGATGTAGCCTAATTTGTTCACATCTTCTTTATGTGTTTTTTTTTTTTTTTTAAACAAAAGTGTCACTTTTGAAATGTATTTCACTTCATTTAATAACGTCTGCTCATTATTTAGGTACAAACTTTTATCTGGAGTTGTGGTCAATTTTATGATGACAGGCTAATCCATAGCTGTGTAGCTGTTTTGAGTTGTTGTCAAGGTAAAGGGTGCCCCCTGGGGGTGAAATACTAAACTGCAGTTTTGCATGTAATACCAGTCTGGGTTTTCTGTTTCTTTAGACATTGTGCTTTTTTGACAGATACTATTAAGGGTTTATTTCATATATTTTTTCTTTTGAAGATTTCTCTTCCAGTACTTTTTCCTGAATCTGCATTTTGAAGAATGTTTTGTTGTGCCTGCAAGAAAAGACTTGCACTTGTATATTGTCCATGATATTAAAATATAAAATACATGCTTAGCTTTTTTTAATTTTAATTTTTTTGGTCTTTGTGTTATGAATTTTCAATTCCTAGTTTGAAATGGATCTCTCTCTGTGTCCGGGGTTCCTGTCTCCTCCGTTCTTGGACTACACTGGTTACCACCACTATATTGACGAACATCTCCCCTCCGAGAATCCCACTTTGTACGGTCTCCATCCAAATGCTGAGCTTGAGTGCCTCACTGTCACCTCAGACAACCTCTTAAAGGCTCTGTTGGAACTGCAGCCACAGAACTCTTCCAGAGGAGAGGGAGCAGCTCAGAGCACAGAGGAGAAGGTCTGCATGCAGAAAGAATCATTATGGGGGAGGGAAAAAAACTGCTGAGGGTGCAGGGACCTGTCCATATCACTATCCCAGTTTATTGTATTTCTTAGGTCACGTCAATAATTGAAGACATCCTTGACAAGCTTCCTGAGGAGTATAACATGGCAGAGATTATGGCAAAGACAACAGAGCGAAACCCGTACACCTTAGTTTGCTTTCAGGAGTGTGAGCGCATGAATCTTCTGTTAGTTGAGATAAAGAAGTCCCTTCATGAGCTGGATCTTGGTCTGAAGGTACCATAAACACAGTGACTGCCAGCAAGGTGCTTTACTGTTATTATTGTAGCATTAAAAAGCATTTCTCTGTCCACAGGGCGAACTCACTTTCTCCTCCAGGATGGAGAATCTGCAGTCTGCACTGTTCATGGAGCAGGTCCCAGACTCCTGGGCCAGACTGGCTTATTCCTCCACTAAAACACTGGCACAGTGGTAACTTATGAGTCAACCTATTATATGCTAATTTTTCTTACTTCTTAAATAATCCCTTTATAGGCACACTCTAAAAGCTAGTTTTTTCCTAGTTTTTTATTAACAATTATTTATTCTTTAGGTTGAATGATCTAATGTGTAGCTGCCACGAGCTCGACAGCTGGACTCAAGATTTTGTCCTACCTGCAGTTGTTTGGCTTTCGGGGCTCTTTAACCCTCAGTCCTTTCTTACCGGTGAGGACTAAACGAAGACAACGATTAATATTGCCATATGTGCACCGGTAGAACCAGAAATATTAACATAGAGTCATATTTTACAGCTGTGCTGCAGAGTATTGCTCGCAAAAACAAGTGGCCCCTGGACAAGATGACCCTGAGCGTGGATGTAACAAAGAAAATGAAGGACGACTTTGGGCATCCTCCACGGGAAGGAGCCTACATCCACGGACTCTTCATGGAAGGTCAGAATAATTAACCCAGCAGTAGATCCTGCTATACTCGAATTATATAGATTTTTCACAGTATTTTGCTTCCTGTGTCTTGGAAAAATTACTGTCTTGTAAGTATAATTGGTCAAACCCACAGTGCAACATGTGTCTTTGTGTTAGGAGCACGTTGGGACACTCAGGCTGGAGTCATCTCTGAGGCGGTTTTGAGAGAACTGACGCCGGCCATGCCTGTGCTGTATGTTAGAGCTGTGCCCACAGAGGAGCGGGACATCAGTAACACTTTTGAGTGTCCAGTGTACCGCACCAAGCAGCGTGGACACACTTATGTGTGGACCCTCCGCCTCCGAACCAAACAGCCAGCTACCAAGTGGATTGTAGCTGGAGTGGCTTTGTTGCTGTCTGTGTGAAATTCAGTATTCAAGTATTACTGCAGTGTAAGAGCAGTATGTTTTTAAACAGTATTGGATTATGTGTCATTATGGTTTTACCATGTTTAGTTACTTTAACACATTTCTAATCTTGTATTTGTGTTGTCAGTATTTGAGTGTGTATATCCTGCATGTTGTAGATAAAGTAAAGTAAACAAGTAAAAGCAGATAGCCGATGTTAAACCTGTTGTGTTCATGTCCTACACTGTTCAACATCTCCCTTGAGCCTGGGTGTGATTTGTTGGGAGCTTATGTCTCCATTTTAGACCATGTAATTCTGGATGGGGAGCATATTTTATTGGAAGGTCAAGATTAAAAAAGCTCTCTGGTTGCCCTCTACTAACTGAATGATACACAATGCTGTCTGGAGGGGATCCTGGACAGAATTCCCAGGAGATGATGTGCATGGTTGCTATTGACTTTTAAATGAGGTGCATTTGACATTGACCTTTTGTACGGCAGAGGCAGAATACTAACAGACTAGTGTAATTCATTCAGCCAAACTCGTTGGAAAAACCCATTGAAAGACACTGATAGCTTTGTATGAGAAAGCAACACATTAGATTACCCATCCTTTATCTGCCTCAACTCTCTGTTAACATCTGATGAACCTACTATGCGACAAACAAAGCTAAAGAAAGTCATTTTAAGTAGAAGGTTATTGTTTTAAATGGATTTAATCAGGATTAATTGCAAACCGAGAGGACGTTCAGACTAAAGTTTGTAGTTATGGATACATGTCTGAGGTGTTACTATTTATATGCAGTGATTCACATGATTTAAAGTCTAATGTATGTCAGGGATATGAGGTAGAGTCAAGGTTAAGGCCATGTACTACACTGAGAAAAAAACAATGTGTTAAAGGAGATTTTAAAAAATAAGACAGGTGCCATATTATCTGCTAAAAATAAAATAACATTATGACGCTTAATTTACTGCAACTAAATCGCGGTGTTGTTTCTTTCTGAAGGGGTGGGGGGCGTCAAACTCTTATCTACTCAAATAAGATTTTCTTCAACACTAATAACGGCTGTGCTGCTCCTAATTTCTCCCTGCAGCCAAAGTGGCTGTAGACAGACAAATGGAGGCTGGAGGATTGATTCTGTGTATTGTATTGCACGAGGGGGGGAAATGAAGAACCGTTCTTCCTGTAGTTTCTCTTCATCTGCCTTCTCTTCCTCCCATTAGCACAGCACAGCAACTAGCCAGTCATTTGGCGACAGGGAAATGATACAGTGCTCGTAATGTTTGGGAGGAAATGGCAGGGTACGGGCCGGGCTCAGCAGGGGTCGTGCCTCAGATAAGGCATGTTAAAGGCCAAGCAGGACACCTGGTTAAAGTCAGAAAGGGCATCTGGGTCACCACTCTGCCTTACAGCACCAAAAGAAGACATTGTGTTTGTTTTTTTGTTTTGTTTTTGTCTTGAAAAACTCTAAAGGAAAATATGAAATCAAGTCTAGTTTCCTCGCAGTATTATGAACAGCTTTAAAAATTTTATAGTTTATGATGTCAAATGATGTCGCTGCTCTGTGGAGCCTTAAAATAAAAAGCTGCCTATGACCAAATATTTACTTTGACAAATTGTCACTATCTTTTTGTTATATTCATTTTTACATAATGGCATGGGGTTGCAAAGCTGAGATAAAAATTTTATAATTTGTACTGTTTAGTCTGCTACAGAGCAGAAAATTACAAAAGCTTAAAGCCACATTTTAAGCTTTGAATGGTTCAACGTTTGCCTCCAGGACTTACACGTCACTTTCTTGTCCCTTATGAAACAATCCCATACTTTGTTGTCACATTAGGTAATAAACACATAAAAATGAGAAATTTTAAGACCAATCTTTTCCTTTTTGTCCTTTTTCTATATTACGTGCATGTTTTCACTGACTCGACGTATGATTCAGCTCTGATCCTTCATTCTTTGTTAAAAACCATTGGTTGTGAGAACTTTGGGAAAAGTTTACTACAAGCACCTTTTCATAATGTGTTAAAGGTAATAAGAACATAGTATAGTGAGTTATATGTGCTCTATGAAATCTGAAATCCTTAATTTTGTATGTTTGACAAAGTGCTTGAACATGTCAAGTGTAATAACGTTTCACTTCAAGCTGATATCATACCTAAAAAATCAGTCAGACAACTACAGCTCATTCAGAACTCTGCTGCTCGAGTCCTCACTAAGACCAAAAAAGTGGACCACATCAGTCCAGCTCTGAGGTCTTTACACTGGCTGCCTGTCCGTCAGAGGATAGACTTTAAAGTTCTGATGCTGGTCTATAAAGCTCTGAATGGTTTAGGACCAAAATACATCAATGACCTCCTGACCCAGTATGAACCATCCAGATCCCTCAGGTCATCTGGATCCGGTCTTTTATCAGTTCCCAGAGTCAGAACCAGACACGGAGAAGCTGCATTCAGCTTTTATGCTCCTTATATCTGGAACAAACTCCCAGAAAGCCTCAGATCAGCTGAAACACTCAGTTTATTTAAATCCAGGTTGAAGACTCACCTGTTCTCAGCTGCATTTGAATAAAGCACCAAATCCACACTTTAAGCTTAAATTTCAAAACTTACATTTAACTACTGATTTTATCTACTGTTCTGATTTTATCTGTTTTGATTTTATATACTGTTTTGTTTGTTTGTTTGTTTGTTAATTAGTTAGTTAGTTTATTTGCTTGTTTTAATCAATTTTAAATCATGCTTTTTATTTGTTCTTGTTTCTAATGTCTCTGTAAAGCACTTTGAATCACCTTGTTGTTGAATTGTGCTATACAAATAAATTTGCCTTGCCTTGCCTTGCCAAAGTCTGTAACAGTTCGTCCTGCTGTAAGTTTTGTCTTTGGTTAATCACAGCATTGTGGGCCAAAGTATGGCATTAAGGTACCTAAGCAGACTTTTCAGGTATCTGCACCTGACCGGACTGTTTATTTTACTGACAACTTTTTACTTTTAGCACAAGCACCTCTACTTTTTTACTCCTGAAAAATTCAAAGACTTGTTACTTTACTTTTAATGCACTTGAGGGAGTTATTGATTATTTCGCATCACAGCGCACCTTTCCAACATTAAACCACTTTCAACCCAAATGGAGCGAACAGTAACACTTAAATGACAATCTTATTGGTCTTATGATCCATCATTGGCAGAGGTGCTTCCTGCCACCAGCCAACTGCTTGGGGCCTTCAGCCAGTGAGGGGGAGAGACACCTGAAAAATGTAACTTCCACTTGCGTTAAATTATTTGTTGACTTTGAGATTTAATTTTAAGGTAACACTTTATAATACAATCCACAACTAGTTAAATAGAACATCTGTGTGCTGTATTTGGAATTACAATGTAAATGTATTCGCCTACAAATATTTAAAGGTAGGTACACTAGAATAAAAGAAAAATTAAGTTAGACTTGGCTCCATTATTATAAGATCACATAGGCAATTCTTATAGTATTTTTTTTTCTTGTAAGTTGATAAGGGAGAACAGTCCTTATCAAAATTATATTGGTAAAATAAAAAGGACAGTTGAATAACAGAACATTCAATATGTCATTAACATCATGTATACCAAACAAAGAAGTGGCTCCATTATTCCATCCTATAAGGTTACGAAATGGCCCATCACTGTTACACTCTTATTCTAGTGTGCCTGCCTCTAAGTATTTGTAGGTAAATACAATTACTTTGTAATTTCAAATAAAATACATTTAATTACAGGGTAATTACACCTTTTGTCGAAGACTGTATTATATAAAGTTATTAATTAACTTGGCTAGCAGAACTAGTGTCAGCTGTGACATGACTGAGTTGAAGTTCCAGGTTTTTAATTTGCTGGTGTCAGATTATTAATAAGGGTGATGAACACTTGTTGGAGAGACCCAGTTTTGCCCCGGCAGACCCTTGATCTTGATCTGCACTTACTGCATGCGTTTACTGTAGAAAGAGGCAAAAAAACATAAGCAGGAAATCCAAGTGCAAAGCAAACATTTGTGTCAGAGGGAAATGGAGTCAGTGACCCTATGAGAGAAAACAAAGACACTGATCAGTTACTGTAGCTTAGCGCGAAAATTTCCTTCAGAGTGCTACTTTTCACTTTCATGTTTCATGTACATTTCAGAGCACGTACATATTCACTTTTGTAATCAGTACTTTAACTTCCAGGGTCTTTGTTAACACTGTAGTTCTAAGTGAAGTAATGTTTGCATGCTGGTGTTAGAAAACAGACTTTACCTGTTATGAATTATCACCAAATATTAGTCTAAAAATAATGAGCTCACGATGATGAAAAGTATTTTATTACATGCACAGTTGGCACTAATGGTCAGTCCATGGTTTGACATATCATGCAGACCCGCCAAAAACAGTGCGTACAATAAAAAAATCTAACAAACAAACCAAAACAATTAACACAAGCATCCTAAATAGTATCTTGAAAGCAAATAAATAATTATGAGATAAATATCCATATCCAGAATTTCAACATATATACACTGTATAAATTGAATCAGCTGTACACTATTGATGACAAAAAATGATACTCAAAATAAAATACTGCTAAAGCATGTTTTAAAATCCAAATATACAAAATGTGAAGAATATAAAGCATAATTGTATGTACACACTTCACAACAACTACCTCAGTTTGCCTGACCCAACCTAGCAAAACAGAAGAAATACTGCATGTTTAAAATTGTACAGTAGTGCTACGACACAATGCAAACAAGCAAATGGCTTCCAGTTTGTCTTCTTCTTCTCTCTTCGTATTCTTGCCCAGAAGGTGCTATTTTAATATTTGATTTTTGCTATCGCTAAATCTAACCACAAATGAATCAGGCTTCAAAGAAATCAGGTCCTTTTCTGGTGCTAAATTCTTGAACTCTGTGTATCAGAAGTGAACAACTGCTGTCAGTCTTCAAATCTCAACAGACGGATGTATGGATGTCTGCGAAATGCATCAATATTGATGAACTTTAAAGCCCA